ACATACGAAGTTACATTACATTTGCCCTGTTTTTTTCCTGGATATAGAATTTTAACATAAAATATCTAATTACAAAATTGGATCATAGAAGTATGCTTACAAAATTGGAAAGTGTTTTGATATAAATAGAATATTATAAAAAAAGTCCAGTATTTACATTGTGCTGTACCTTGATCCCCTTAATTAGTTTTATTTTTCATTTAAATTTAGGTCACATGCTTATTTAGCGAGAAATGTTTGCCAATATAACATCTCTCAGCTACGTAACATAATCTTTTTCTGTTAAGAAAACGGTGATTCTATTCCTCTCAACACAATGCGTCGTAATACAAGTAAATCGGCTCGGTGTTTTTATAATATGATCAATTAAGCTGTTGGGCAAATATTTATATCTGAAATAAAATTATGTCAGTACAAAGTTCAAATTACATTCAAATGAGATGAGATAAATCTAATTTTCTTGTATATTTTACGTGACATGCGACGGTTGACTGACAATGTGCAATACATCATAAAAGTACAACACTCCACAATCGAAAAATTAAAAAGTTGAACAGTGTAATTAATTTGACAGAGTTTGGAAATGCACCCGAGACTTTATTTCCGGTTAACTGGTTAACTATTTTAATGGCTGTGAGATAACAAACTACTGGGGAAATGTTGTGCAATACATTAATAAAGTGAATTGTAATTAAATAATTGTAATAATATACTTCAGCAATGAGACTGTCCTGCTTCAGCACAACATGTTACGTCATATAAACATATGTTACATACACTGTACATGTTTAAATCACGACTTAGCATTCAAGTGATATTGGTCACTTTGTGGCCTTAACCTATATTCGCGAACTTGTTTGATGATTATATTTATACGCATATAGAAATTATTCATTGAATGAGCACAAGAGACATATACACCTTATATAGCACTTCAAATTAATAAACGTGTCTCGAGGCTCGTAAAATGTGTCTCTTAAAATTGCAATGCTACTTCAAGCGACAATAATACCTAATAAATGAACAGACAATGCCATGAGTCGATATCTTGTTACAGTCTTTGCGTCTAACATAGTATTAAATACACGTTCTTCCTACATATCTCCAATACCATGTTCACTGCGAGATTAAAATGTTACTGTGTGTTAATATGGATATGGCAGTTAATTACGTTTTATTTAAGCAACTTATACGCTAACAAATACGCATTGTGTCAGTGTAGATGGGAAAAGTGACAGAAATTTCGAATCATATATACACTAGACGATGTATCCTAAAAGACTAAATTAGTTAATTGTGGTTAAGTGTCAATCATGTTGTGCATTAATATGATACTTTCTAAAGTGGCACATATCAAATCGAATTGCAGTATGCTTGCAACATGTATCGACGTATGAAATGAATAGAGATTAATATAATTTGAATTCAATCTTGCAAACGATAAAATAGTACCTGTATTACGTATTATTATACCTCATAGTCCTAACAGCCAATCAGATTTGCGCATTTGGAAGTCGATATATTCGAGTGTTGACTTTTCAGCGGTCAAAAAGTAATATTCGTATTCGCAAACGTTACGATAGATCTAATAAATTCTGATTCCTGTTGACGTTTGTCAGCGTTTTACCGGAGAATCACCTGTAATTTATAAACAGGTCGAACGACTATAACATTTTCGGTTAAACAAGGTATCCTGTATCTTGTAGTTATGTTGATGATAATACTTGTAACCAGGAGATAATCATCGAACCGCACGGTGTAAGTAGATAGCGCTGATTACTTGAATTTCGCCCGGCATTAGTCGTATACCGACGTTTAGTGCTTTAATTGATTTCATCAATTCTATTACTCATACATACATGTGGGTTTCATTAAATCTTTCATTTAACCGGAATTACGTTGTTATATTCCGTTTTATTTAGGTCCGATCCGGTTCGAGTTACCACTGACGAAAAACTATGCCCCACCGATCATATTGATTAATCTGACAGTGAACTACTCTCAATAAAAATCAACATGCCGTTGCATACTCTCTATTAAATATTAATGATACATACATACCGTGTGGTTCTACATTAAGAGAACCTCGAAAAATCAATTGATGGAATAATCTGTCTTTATTGCATGGTATACAGTTCACACTACATAACATAAACTTTGAACATAAATGCGCGTCAGACGATAAAGGCACTACAACAATCCTGTTATCACTTTTAGTTAAACGCGTATAAAGTGAATAAAGCATGTTTCGTCTAAGAGCGTAAAATGTAGGAATATTGGAGGACACAAACATACCGCTAGAACTATATACGCAACACAGAGATCATACATACTTTTACGATTATATTGAAACCAGAGCTGCGAAAATACATGCTCGAGCAAAAGGTTCGGAATAATGTCATTGTAACATTATTACTGCAGCTTAAAAAAATCGGAGCCATACATTGGCTCTGCCGTAGAATGATCGAATCTGCCGTTTTATGTCCTCATTATCCATGCAATTATCAGCAACGACATATCCTAAATAAACGTGCTTGTGCACAATTTGAAGCTTAGAGCCACAAAGATATACGATGGAATTACACTACTTCAACGGACACTCTTTCGAGGACCAAAGTACATAAAATCGTAGAATGGTAAATAATATTAACGGGCGATGGGCGGGCTAAGGATAAACAAGTCATCGGTATACGTATACATCAGAGGGTTAATAAAAAATCCCGCTCACGCAACAGCGCACTTTAGATAAATTTAAACGAGAACTGAGGTCATCAATATACACGTTGAAAGTAAAAGCGAAATAATGCTACCTTGCCGAACGTCGTTTTCCACAGAAAACAGAGTAAAAATAGAATTCACCCAGCAAACAGTAAACAGCTGAGTACGATGCCAAACAAATAAAATGCGAATAATATAACCAGGTAGACCCCTGTCAATCAACCTTTAATACAGGTACCAATGGTTGACACTTTCAAATACCTTGGTGGCATCTAAAAATACACATGTTCGTAGAGTGCCCAGGCTTAAACCCGAATTGAGCATCATCCGTGTCTAGGAAACCATGAATAGTTCCTAAAAATTTAGAAGAGACAATGGAAATGGCAATATGCCTGTAGTTATCCTTGCAGTTTAAGTCACCTGATTTGTTTTAACTATACTAATCAGGACTGTTTTCATAAAATCCTAACGAGGAAAACCGTGGATCAGCATCGAATTAAAAACAAGCGCGAGCATAAGGTAGAGTATTTCGCTAGCATGTTTATGGTGTTCTGACGCGATACCATCATCATCAGCAGATTTACCAATGCGCAATTTATGTACAGCCTTGAAATACCAAATATAATGCAGATCTCCAGATTGTTCGCGGGAAAGCCAGCATCTCACAAATCTTTCATGGCGGTTAATCTTCACTGAAGTTGATAACGAGCTAAAGCGTTGTTTCCGCATGTCGGCAATATTACCGTGCCCTAAGCATCCTTCGACATTTGAAGACAATGGAGTATTGTTACTATTAATAGAACGAACCTCAGACCAGAATGCCTTACGATCACAATCTTTCATAGCTGTGGCGAGACCGACTGAACGTGCTGTATTTTCTAAACTTCGGTAAATACATATAGCAGGTTAAACAACGTACGATCCCGTCTCGTAGTGGCATACATGAGACCATTTTAAGGTTTCTGATTATCAACCAAAATTTTAAAGGCATCCCGCGCTTGATCGTAGAGATTTCTATTATAATTATTCCATCAAGGAAAAGCACCATTGCGACATCGTTACCGTGGCGTAAAAATTCAGAACATCAACACAAAGCCTGCATAATTTTATCGTAAAACTTGGCAATATTTTCATTGTGGTCAGTACAGCTACAGCGGAGCTTATTGCACAATGGAGCTTCAGATGGGGTTTTGTTTTGTTCTAGAAATGTGTCCGTAACATTTTTATAACGGTGTATATCTCTGGTATTAACATGATATTCGACAGTTTTAAGCATTATAGGCATGTTCAGTGAAGGTAAACCGTCAATTTCGATATCAACAGACAATGGAAAGTGGTCGGAAGCAACAACATTATGCAAAAGTTCAATCGATTGAATGGCATCGTGTGCAGAAACCGAGGACACACAATGGTCAATCCAAGATGTAGTGTCATGTGCTTCGCTGGTAAACGGGTCTGTTGCCTATTTAGGATCGCATAGTCAGACGTAACAATGGTCAGAACAAAACGGGCGAGCTTTTTACCAAACAGTTTCCTTGGGTCAGCGTTCCAATCACCAATTACATATACACAATCGTCAATAATACTTTTGGTTTTTGAGAGATAGCTCATATAACAATGCACGTTGTCATGACAATCCACACAGGAAAAATAGACGAAGACTTTCATTTCTGAGATGGAGGCCTAAAAGCCTATAATCACTATATTGATTAACAATCACGTAAACAACTCAGTAATGGATTTTTTCCACAAGACAGCAACGGCACCATACGGCCGACCAGTTCTCAGTCTATCGTTGTCTGTCATAGACGTGGTACCCGAGGCATAGCACTGATAGTGTATATTTGATTTTGGAATTTTGGAAGTCAGTATTCTTGCAATGAATTCATTAATGGCATTTATTGACGATTTAACACCACGGCAATTATATGAAACTATGCTGAGTTACATTGTTATTTTGCTTTATAATAATTGCGGACGAGGGCACCAGTAGACCAAAAAGAATCACTAAGCAGGTTGCGGAGATAATCACTCGATAATTGATTAATAGATTTAAATTTCGTATTCAACTTTTCTCACTTTACTTCAATGTTCAGTTTGTGCAGTAGTATCAGGTCATAGTCTACTCACAAACACCAAGTCCCATTCACAACAAGTGGTCATCGGCATTATTAGATCCAATGATATGCGTTGTTCTATGTGTATTAATCTGGGTGAAACTACCATCACTGTCAACAGATGTCAACGGTAATTTATGACAACTACCTTGTCAGACACCTCTATCACCCACCCGTGGCTACTGCATTCACCGCCGTCTTGCTGGCTAAAGTATTTGCATACGACTTTTCATTTGGTATGTGGTCAAGTAAAGCAATGTTATCTGATTGCAAATAATTTGTAACTTGGCGACGATGGTTCATCAAATTGTTGCTCGGCAACACGCGATACATCATTGAACTACTTTTCTTCAAATCAATACCTTTCTTATAATGATCTTTTAATTCGCTAATTTCTGCACCGAGTTTAAATACTTCATCCATTACATTCCCATAGCCACTAAAGTGATGTTTATCTTTTACTGCCAACATTTCTTCACGCAATGAGCGTATTTCTTTTCGCGTTGTGGAAACATCAACACAAGATATATCCACTTGGGGCAATGTAGATAGATTCAGTGCCACAAAAAATGGCTTAACATCGGGGTCAGTCTCGTGAATAAGATTAACAATATCATTATTGTTATTGGATTTCTTGTTTTGCCCTTGCCGTTTTTTATGCGACCACATAAACAATCATCATCAACAAGCTCGTGCAACGTTTGCTTGGCGTTTTCGACCTCATTGTCAACAAAATTTTCTGTGCACAATTTACAAGTATATCTGTCGATAGAACATCCGTCTTGTTGACTAAAAAGCACAATAGTTCATTGATGACAACGTCGTCCCGTGCAGAGGGTGATTGACCTTCGGGCATTTTCAATACCAATGGACGATATAATGTCCACAGGGGATGAGATGACAGTTTCAGTTTTCCATGTTCTCTGTTTATATCAATAAATAGATTTTAAAAAGAAGGTTGAACCTAACACATTGTAAGCATCACAAATTTAAATCGTGCTCGGGTAGACACAAATCTATATTCAATGATCTGCAAGCATGCATGTGTCTTGCTTCTCTCCATAACATATGTGATTGTCTCTGATGATAAGGCTGACAATAATATTGTTTTTGTTTGTAGGAGATATTATTATAAATATTCAGTCAAAGAACTTGCGTCTGATAATTCTGCATACAGTCATTCTTGACAGCATTTGAGAACTTCACTCCGAAAAAAAAACAATTACTTGCGCAGCTTATTTAAGCTGTAGCAGGTTCACCTAAGTTTCGGATCAAAATCCTTCATTTTGCGTTTTTTGATTACTTGGTTTGGTCATTTCATGTCCATGTCAGTGCATTGTGGTTCTTGTGCTGCATATTCCCTTTGTGATATGTGTGATACCACTTCCTTCGACGTTTCCACACTTTATACTAACATACCAAATTACAAATAGCATGACAAATTAACTTTGAAAGATATAATCTATCAATATCTGTATATCTGGGTACAAAACACAAAACTGATGCAAACATTTTTTTATACAGAACATTGATTCGATTGACATATATTTGTGGAGTTTGGTGGGCATGTCAACGAAGCATTAGCATGCTAATGGATATAATTATGCTTCTCTGCTAGTCGATTGTTTTTACTCTTATGAGTAAGAATTTCGATCGGACACTACTGAGGACAGCCTGGATATTAACGGGTCACCAATGGTGCACTCATGTGCCGCCAGTTTACTTGGAAAGCCAATATTGATAACATGTTATTGCACCAAAAATTGGATAAATTTCACTATTGAATATACTTTGTTATCGCTGACTTGGTAATGTGTGTGTGTGTGTTGTCTATTTTATTTTGTTCATTTTTCTCCACACGTTAACCATTTGTATGTCGTTCAGATGTAAAGATATTTATACTGCCCATTACACCCTTGCACGATACGTGTTGCTAAGTATGTTCTTAAAATGTTAAGATGAAATCGTCGCATCCACTGTTTGCACACTTATTGATTTGAAAGAAAACTAAAATAGGGTTAAAGTGTAAATTCAATCATGTATATGGACAGTTAATTTTTTTGTTGGGCCGATAGAAATACTGTAAAAGAGCTTTGAAATTCAATACCCCAACTCGGAAGTACTCATCCAGACATTATCTATAATACTTGGCTAGGTTGTTCTTTGCTAGTTACGCTGTCTGTTATAGTCTTGGCTATAGACCGTTAAAATTTCGCAGCATTGTGAATAGTGGGAACATACTAAATTTCACTCCGAGTGCCTACGAACCTGCATCTATGCCTTAATCCACTCTTTCTCTTGTGATTCATTTATGTAACATTGTATATGTAGTTCGACATGTGCTACTAATAAAGGCATGGTATCTTATGATTCGTAAAGAACAGTGACAGCATACATCAAGACGTGTTTGGTCGTGATGAGATTATACTTAACCAACCTATCAGAAGTGTTCACTAACATTTGTAGAATACACAGCACACGATTCGTGTTTATGTTTGAAGAATGACGTACGAATGTTATTCACATTGCTAAGTGTCATAAATTATAACCCCTGGCACGAATACCTCCCACAGAACAAGAATAAATGCAATTTAAACCGCAATAATTTATTGTGTTATCAATCACACTAAACTGAATTTTCAAATTTAAATGTTCAGCTGTCAGGTTTAGTTATTAAATACATTTACTAAGAAAGATATTCAATAAATTGCATACTGATGATTTTCATAACATATTAATATAGTAATAAATATCATAGTTTGGCCAAATTTATACTGTCTGTGCACTATTTCGTTCATTTTAGAAAATAAAGAAATAAATTTCATGATTAATCACCTCATTAGATATGGAAATCGGTATGTTTCAAATGTTGCGTATGGTGCTCTAAATGTGTATTTTGCTTGTTCTAAATAAGATGAAATATATAATGCTGTGGTACAATAAATGTAGAACCATATCAGCATTGCATGTATAGAAGTCGCCAGTCATGAGGACGTGGAGGAGTGAGCGAGATATTGTGATATCAAATACCAGCCAAATTTCAGTACCAACATACATTCCAACAGTAAGTCGAATATACTAACCTAAAATGATAACAGTGATCTCATTTAATGGCTGAAATTCATGAAAGAGTGGCGTTTTTAATGTCGAATTGGTCAAAAATACACAATGGCGAAATTGGCTGAATGGTATATGCACTCTCAGATATTCGCCTATTTCACCATTCAGTGGCTATGGCTACTATAGCAAATAGCAAATATATGCAAATGCCTGTAGTGCAATTGTTTGTTATAACTGCAAAAAATCTAAAAATTCATATCTAAACTAATAACTTATTCGGATAATATATGGTAAACATATACTCTGGGGTAGGGTTCTTCCATCTAGAAATACACTTCTCAAAAACTATACAAATTAAAATTCACACGCTTCTATTTATCTCACCTTGCATTTGTGTTAAAATAATTTAAGGAATGTTCCATATCACATGTGGTAGGAAGCTAATTTTAAAAATGGATTTTCTTTTCAAGAGCAACGGATACTTATTACTCAAATAAAGACATTCATTTTTAATTTGCATTTGCATTTAAATAATAATCTTGTTATTTAGGTAACAGGTATATTCGTAAAATTATTCCCCTCTTAAAACTGTATTTTACTTGGCTAAAATTAGATGAACATATTCTATTTGATATTTCGTTTGTTCTTTTGTTAACTCCGAAATGAAAATCTTCTTCAAAACAACCTCTCGACTAAAGCGTGGAATTGAGCCAATGTAGCATGTAGACAGCATCTACTAAATTCCCAGAAATCGTTGGTAATGGCATCATATTTACATGTACATCCATTCACCGTGTTGTTTGGAACAGTTCACTTTGATTCAAGTAACCGCGTATGCACAATTTTAACAGACATGTGTCATTTTCCTTAATGTATATATCACATTATAATCTTACATAGGAGGTCGACCAATATATTTGTAATAATATCTTTTTGTTTCATGCGTCTGCGTTTGCGGGTGAATAAAATTGGTGAATGTAATTATATATCAATATTATCAAATGAAGCTTTCCATGACTCCCGTGTATGGATATATTTGAACATCTTACGGTTACAGGCGTATTCTATGTTTGGGAAAATGCGTATGAAGTATGCGTGCGTTACCGTCGCAACAATGTAGGGCGCAACACGAATATAATGTCGTTTGCGAACGCATACGGTCCCGCAAGTATCTAGTGTAGATGATGGTAAAATAACATAACTTTGTTTTTATGAGTGATATAATAGTCAATAACATTTCAACTGCATAACGATTAATGAAGATTATTGCAAACAAATACAAGAATATTTACACATATGCTGGTGAACAACTTAAGCATTCTTGCAGAGAAAATCGTTTTGTTCAGTATCATTCTATTCATATGACAATTATATTCTTCTAAGTCGAAAAACAAAATGGGCATTTGTTTTTTAATTTTTGTTTTATGAGAAAATAGGAAATGACTATATGGTGTTCACTGGAGGACAATACAAGTTCACAGCCTGACATTCTTACATACTTACGCAATCTGGTTTCCTCCTCCCTCATCATTCCCAGCGTCCCTAATATTGTTCCTTATTTTTATTGTCCAATCATTATTAGTTTTGTTTTTATTTATGCGTCAATCGATGGTGGACAGTTTTATCATTTGATGATTTAAAAAATGTTTCAATTTACTGTTCTAATCATGTTGGCATCATAATCCCTAGTTTTACTGGCCTACCCCTCCCCTCAACCCACCTCGACATACACTTGGAATGTGATTCACCCTGCGAGTGAATACTTGTTCAAAAGTCATACTAGTTTGTATTATTATCTTCAACGTAAATTTGTTATATACAATATACGTAGCCTATGTTAATACTTCAGTAAATGCATTTTACCATAGAAGGTAGCAGGGGGGAGAGAGAGAACGCCATTGCTATATCCTGCTCCACTATCGCTTCGATTTATTTACTTGATAAACATTCCCGTTGTGCGATTACGATAATAATTAGCATTCAGGTTAGCTCGAAAATCCAAAATCCAATAACATGACCAAATCACAGACCCTTGTAGAATATTCGCAGTGTTCATGTTATAAATTGTGACCCACGAATAGGCGGGAAACAAAATTGCTAAACTATTGCGTAAAAATCACGTTTTGTCAACATCGCACATCAGCCTTTTCGAAGTAGTCTATCGCTTATTTCGTTGTCGGTGACTGGTCTTACCAATGACCTATTACGTTATGTAAACTGTTTGCGAAAGTATACTGCTGCATCTTTTTGTTTTCAGCTCTAAAAAACAGTCAAACCCGTTTTGTTGAGTAAATAAGCGGAATCGAAATATAAATAATGACAATACGCCTTGAATAAAAAGACAAGAAACAAAAGAAAGATAACCCCTTCTCTCTCCTCCCTATGTACCTTCCATGATTTTACATGGCAGATAGAAACCTTTAATAAATGAGTAAATTGAATCGTATTAACTTTGTTTCTACCCAGATGATCTATTATGTTCCAATAGAGTATTGCCTATCTGACTGCCTGTACATTTATGCATTAAATTG